GTTTGAAATTTGTCACTTAATCACATAAATTTTTTGATATTTAAAATATTATACACAAATTTTTTGAAGTCTATACATAGGTAATACATAGACTTATACCGTTAATGTCTGTTAGTATATTCTTTAATAAATTATTTTCAGACCCTTAAAATTTAAAACGTGTAATACTTAGAGCCCTCAAGTTAAAAATATTATATTTTGACAAAAAAATACTCTAATTAAAGATAGAATATCAAATATTTAAAATTTTATAATCAAAATTCATGTTCTATTATGTCATTTATTAAAATAAAATCAAAAATAAAAATCTATTTTTTTTCTTAAAAAATTGTAATTAATACAGTTGATGTCGAAATTTAGATGACCTCCACATCAGTTTGTTGGACTTTAATCACCTGAAAAAGAAGTGAGAGAACACAAGAGAACTCCGAGGGTCAACCCTCCAATGCCTAAGTTAGTAAGTGACTCCAATGTATGAATTACGTTTACAAGTTAAGAGTGGCATACCTGGGACATTTTGGACTAAATGGACTTTTCACATTGAGTGAATTTTTCCATCATCAAATACAAATATATAAAATAAGCCTAATCAACTCATTTGTACATTCCATTATATCATCTATTGACATAAAATTCAAAACAAACTTTCAATTTTTTGAGAAAAATATAGTAATCAGTTTAAATATTTCAAATAATTCAATTCAACATTCATTTCATACAATTAAATTATCTATTGGAATAAAATTTAAAAAAATATAATAAATGGTCAAATTATAATAGATACAATATCTTCTATATTTACTTGGGATAATTTAATTGTTTAATAAATTTCGTTAGTTCTATAATTAATAAGGAATTTAAGTGTAATATTTTAAACTTGAAATATAAGTATTATACGCCAACAAATTTTAGGATGTTTAAATGTAATTTACTAATAGATATACTAACGGACATTAATGACAAAGGTCTAAGTGTTATACGCGTACAAATTTCAGAGGATCTGTGTGTAATATTTCAAATGTCAAAGGATTTAGATGATTAAGTGATAAATCTTAAAAAGTCTAGATATAATTATCTCAAATATTAAACTTATATTGTTTGAATCTTGAGACTGTCATATGTTCTTTATGTCCTAATATTAACCGTAATACAAGGTTGATTTACATCATTCCCTCTCCTAAACATAAATCCACTTCAGGCGTTAATTGGATGCGGAAGCTATGGAATTTGGGCTCAAACTTTTAGGTGGTGTTGGATGAAAGGATTGAGGGGGATTATAGGGGGGATTGGATTAAAATTGTGAATGAGTCCATTTATTCCTGATTTGGATAATTTTTGGCATGAGATTGGATTGGGATTTGAATTCCTCGGGCCGTAGGTTTTGAAGCGTTCAATCCTTTCTACAGGCCATTGAACAATCATTTCTTCTGTGGGGGATTCAAAATTGTGAAGTGGGATTGCATATGAAAAATCAAAAATACCCTCCACAGTAAATACTTACCTCCGTGTATCGATCTTTGAAGCTTCACATGAGCTTTAATTTTTGCATGGAAGTATCAGATCTGTGCATTGTCACTGCGCAGATCTGGGTAAATTTTTCGGTCTGCAACCTCCATTTGTTTGGGAAAAAAATAGAAATGATCTTCACGGTAACTCATCTCGATTTGTTTGAGAAGATAAAGAGGGAAGAAGATAAATTTTTTTAGAACCTTTTCTTTCTCTCTCTGTCTCACTCTTTCTCTTTGTTTGTGACTGAAGCCGAAGCATCTGTGGAGAACATGAGAAATTAACCACATTAAAATCCACTTTATATCCCCTCAATTCGATTGTTTTGCACTTTACCTCTTATGTTCATAAATTAGCACATAACTCTCAGGTTTTTTTTCATTTTATACAACTCTAAAAAAATTAACATTTTAATTAAAGTAACATATTTTAAATTGACCTGATTTTTGCTATTAATTCAAGCAATAATATTAAAATGCCCTAAAATTCATGAAAAATAAATTGGATTTGGGTCATTGAAAATTTTTTGGATTGAGTTCAAATTAATTTTGCTATTTATTGAAAAAAAAATTGTGACTAAAAGTGAATTGTACAAATTAAATTAAATAAATGAAAAAAATATTTATTGCAATCTTTTGTAAAAATGCGTAAGGTATTGATTCGTATTTTTTTTCGTAAATAAGACAATACTAATGGATTTGACATTTTTTTTCACTCCGTAACAAACATAATATAGGATTGGATAACATTTTTTAACACAAAGGGTGAAATGGTCATTTGAGTATGTATCATCAATTGTGAATGAGACCCATAAACCAAATGAAACATATCCAAAGATGGAATAGGATTTGAATCTTATTCTTATAATCTTCTAATCCGGACCATTTTGCATTGGGTAGGATTGAGTTCGGATTCAAATCTAATCTAATTCAATCCTCCCATGATGATCCAAACACCACCTTAGGAATTTTAATTCTTATCCTCCCCCCCAACTCTTTTTGATGCTTAAATATCAAAAACCTTATTGACATATAAATGTTGTGGTTGATGGAAAATATATTGCACTGAATAGTTCATGTTGTTTTGAGCAAATCTTACGTATCAATTCTCTATGAGTATGTTTATTGTGGGTGAAATGTTGTGGTGGTTGGATTTGCATTGGAATGTAATTTGATTTAAGGCCATAGTTTGATTTGACTCTTCTTTTGTTAATCGGAATGTAGAGTTGTTTGATGATGTTGAAGTTTGAATTCCCTAAATTAAATCACAATACATGTTAGGGACATTTAAGAAATTGGAGTAGATTGACTATGTGATTTTAAGAAATTGAATGCTAAATATGTGTGCTTGAATGAATAGTGAAGTTAACTATAGTTGAGTCGGATCACTTGCAATGCTTCAGAATTGTAAAAAAACGTGTAACGTAGAAATACATCAATCCAAAGATAAACTTTTCGTTAATAGAAGGTGCGATATATAAAAAAAAAGTTTAACTGTTTCTTAAATACTATCATGTATTTTTGACATTGTAGTGGCCACATATATCTCACTTTTATGTGAAAGTCCTCGTAACATTGTTTATGTTTGACAAATCTGCTGCCTATAAATATACAACATTGTTCATGGAATGCTGAAAATACCCAACAGTTCTCTTGGTAGATGGATTCTTTGACTTGGTTTAGTTGTGTTGGTAAGGGTCACAATTTCATTATTGATCAATATGTCAAATATGGAATGTTCAAATTAAAGGATTCCTATTTATGTGGGTTTAGCTCTTTGGTTTGACTTTATAACATGTGGCTATGACTTTTGTAATTATAATATAAATGTTATTTGGGTTTGGAATATGTAGTGAATAAAATTTGATGTTGTCTTTGAGTTAAGTCGAATAATTTATTTTTTAGATCGGTTATGCAATGATTTGAGTTGGGAGATTGAATGTTTTGTGTTGGGCAATAATGCAATTGATGTCACTATAGACAGGTTAAGAATTTCTTGTGTTCTTTTCAAAAAAAACTTTGTTCATATTTTTTGAAAAAAATAGTAGAGGTAATATTTATTTCAATTTTTTTAATTAAAACAAATGAAGGAAAAATTATTTTAAATTAAAAAAATTTTAAGTTAAAAAGTGTCTTTAAATACAAATTATTACTAGTCTATACATATATATAATTATTTTTATATTTACACAAAAAAATTAAAAAGTCACTCTAAATACATTTTTTCAAGTTTTTAAAGGACACTCCAAATAATTTTGCAAAACATTTTTAACTCGGATTTTTTCTTTTTTTCAGTTAAAAGGGTCAGCTCCAAATAGGATCATTATACAAGTATTATAATTTTTTGATTTTCCAAACAAGACCAACACCATAATAGATTTTGGCCTATAATTTATGAAGACTTGGCCACCAACCACGGATGCCACCAGAAGGAGGTGGGTGNTTGTACGTGATATTTCAAATATCAAAGAATCTAAATTATTAAGTGACAAACCTTAAAGAATTTAGATATAATTATCCCAAATATTAAACATATAATGTTTAAATCTTAGACTTCACTGCCCTAATAATAACCGTGATACAAGGTTGATTTACATCATTCCCCTTCCTAAACATTAATCCACTTCTACTATATAAAGAAATACCCAGCACCACGTTGTCCCAACCTAATTTGGGTCAGATGCATGAATTCTAATCCGTTGTCCCAACCAAATTTGGGTCAGATACATGAATTCTAATCCGTTGTCCCAACCAAATTTGGGTCAGATGCATGAATTCTAATCCGTCATTGGATTCTATCAAGGACCTACTTTCAACCCTCGAAGGTAATTCAATGGTTAAACCTATTTTCTTGCAAATAAAAAATCTCAAGTTCAATATTTTCCATTTTCTTAAAAGTTAACTACTTTTATTCCTTAAAAAACATATCCTTAAATTAACTCAAGTTATGTTGGTCCACTCAAAACTCGAAAAAGTAGTCAACATAAACCTAAACACCCAAATAACCAAAAAAAAAAACACCATACTTAATACATTGAAGGACCTTATTTCCCACTACAAATATATACCACAATTTACCCAATTCAACCGTACCATATTTATGAACCACACAAGAGGCCTCAAAATTCTCACTTCTCAGCTACTCCAACAGATAAATAAGGCAGTCCAGCCGTATCCAAGTGCCAGTCAAATAACATGCAAAGCATTTGTTGCATAATACAACTCAAGAGGTAGTCCTAATGTTTCCCCTTTGCTACCAGACAAAGATGTTCCATTCCACCTCTTCCCTTGAATAGCTCTCGCTCGTCCATTCTTCTGTTGCTACCCGAACTTTTCCACCAAAATGAAAAGCAGAGCATAAATTTCACATGCTTCCTCCTGTCTAGTGTTGAAAAAAATTCTCAACCACAATGATCCGAACCATGCTGTCCAAAAAACAGCCACCACAAATTGCGCTTGCCACAAATCAGATCTCAAGATGGGACGGAAACACTAACAATATGCTAAAAGCAGTAACAAAATAAGCAGAGTAACAGAGGTTGCACAATATAAATTTGAGTAATAAGCAATAAAATAAACAAGAGACACACAAGTAAGTTTCAAACAAGTCTAAAGTTCTATTAAAACCTCATCGGGACAAAAACAAGACATAAAATACTGACAATCTTAGAATCCTCAAAAATTATCCAAGCCGCATAGAATAGATTATGTTTGAATCTTAAGACTCCTGCATAATATCCAAAACAACTCATCCCACAAATGCAGGATTTCACTACCAAGGAAACTTGATTGTATCAGAACTGCATCTGCAATCCGCTAATCAACCCAAAACACTCATGAAACCAGGTTGTCGTTGAGGGATAGCGAGGCTAATTGGTCAGCTGGGCTGCTTGCCTGATGAACATTCCTCAGGACCTCCATAGCCTCAGCAACTTTTGCCTTCAAAGCATCTGGTGACTCAAGTAAATGCAAAACCTCAGTCTGGTCCATCTCCAGGTGCATGCCAGTTACCTTGGCTGCATGCTCATGCTCCAGCTGGTCCACAAGTGGGTACAAATTTTCACCCAACATCTGCCCATTCAAAAGATAACTTGTTAATAAGCAAACGACAACCACACTGCAGTATCCAAACAGAAAATGGTAAAAGGCTCACCGTTCTCTGTTGTTCAACCGGTGCATTTGCAAGGGCAGAAGCCAAGGCAGTAATTGGCATAGGCTGTCCCATTGCGGCATCTCGAGGAACCATGCCACCCATGTCATATGGAACAGAGAGCATGCTTCCAGCAATACCCGGCATTGGTACGTCTGGTATATTGCGACCAGCTGGATAACGGTACATACGTCCCCTTGGGATCATCTAAAGAACAGCAACAAACATTATTTAACCAATTCAGCAGTAAAAATGAAGAGTGCAAGGGAAATAAAGTACCACATAATAACCAACCTGCTGCTGCATCAGAGGCACTGGCTGTTGAGTTTGTTGAACAGGACCTGCTCCACGTCTCCCACCAGGGCGCTGTCCCTGCTGACCTTGATGGACCATTGGCACAAAGAAATTCGGCATAGGACCTCCACCAGGTCGCATTCCTGGAACAAGCTGCTGCTGATAGCCAAATCCAGCCTGAAAAATGTATCTCTTCAGTTCATTTTACCTCTATCCAAACTGACTGCTTAACATATTCAGAAATTCATACAAAATTCTTCAATATAGGAATAGTTCAGCCAAATCACATACCATCGCAGAATCTATTACCAAAATACTGCCATTTTCAAACAAAAATACCAATCTACCACACTTTTGAACTTATTTATCGATCTACTACAGTTTTTAAAAGCGGAATCAACAATTCGGCTTTCACCATGAAAGCAGAATCAACAAGAACACTTTTAATACTTACAAAAATGCCTTTTTCATCTTTTGTTGTATCACATAGTGAAAGTGGAATTGTTGATTCCGCTTTCAAAGCGAATCGTATTGAAAGCGGAATCAACAATTTCGCTTTCAAAAAAGCATTAGAATGATAAATAAGTTTAAAAGGGCGGTAGATCGGTATTTTTGTTTGAAAAGGGCAATATTTGGGTAATAGGTTCTACCATCGCAACCCCATACATGAACTTGACTAACTATGAAAATTCACACTTCCATACAATCTATCACTTCCACACGCAAACAAAAAAGAATTATTAAACTGGGATTAGAAAAAGATTCATATATCCAATTATATCACAACACCCAAACCCCAGCCTCCAAGTGGACAGCCCTGGAGAAGTAGCACCTGTCAAAAACTCCAACTAATAGACATCACAATAGTGTGCTCAATACACAAGTAAGGAAAAGTAATGTGGTCTACATCAAAGGTTAGAACAGGGAAATGGCAACACCGGTATCAATATTAAAGCACGTTAAGATAGAAAGAAAACATTTGATTGTGTCCAAGCTTTGCTAAGTTGAGCTGAGATATAAATAGCATAACAAATTGAAAAAGAAGATGATACAAAAAGGAAAACACGAGGGAGGGAGAGAGAGAGAGATTTGTAATCACCAAACTAAAAAAAATGTTGAAAAAAATTAATAATAGCAACAATTAGTGGGTAAACAAACCACCAGCTTGATAAAATTCATGAAGCTTAACAAGTGTGCAAACAAATCCTACTAACCGTTCCATTGCATTTATTTCAACCTATTTGAGACTTGCATATTATAAACTAGTTGCTCCTCACCAGAAACAGGGAGGGAAGGGAACAAAATAAGGGAGTACACACTTAGGAAGACCAAGTTGTACATATCTACTGATGAAAAAATAAAACAATTTGAGGGCAACAGCAAGCTCCAGCGCATAGCAATTTAATAAAACAGAAAAGTCAGTAAAGAGTCATTACCTGGGGAGGAATTATGGTTGGTGGAGCTTGCCCATAAAAGAGTTGCTGTCCAATACCCGGAGCACCAGGAGGATACATTGGCATACGAGGAGCCATGGAAGGTGGCATTGCGACTGGCCTCATTTGCGAAAACTGTGCCTGCATGAGATAAATAATTTGTAAAAATACAAAGCAAAGCTATATCTTTGCCCCTAACATAACAAGGCATTGATTTCTAATTTTCCCAAAAGCATAATTGAGAATGACACAGTTATAAAGGATGAGAATAACATTATTTTAGGGCATCCCATAAGGACATGAGCATAGTGATTATTTCAGTAGACGATCACATCGGAAATCTATTACTGAGCAACCAACATCCATATTTCAATGTTGTGAAGAACAATGGTTAAATTATAAATAATGCATAAATAAGCAATGCCACCACAAATGAAACAGCCAAAAACAAATGTAGTCTTAGCAACATCACCAACTTCAAAATTAGCCAAAAAAACCTTTACTGTAACAATCCATCCACAATAGTTCTATATCTAATTGAACTGGGAAACAGAAAGCTCTACGACAAGTCCTGCCTGTTTCACTTGCAACCAATTATCAGTGTGTCAGAAGGATCCCAGAATTCTACTTATATTTGTCATGGGGACTCTGATCAGGTCAGCAACGATAAAGAAAGGAATAACCTCCCACAGGAGCTTCATCAGGTCACTGATGACAAATTATGTAACAAAAATTGAGGGTCAATAACAACTCCCCAATAAATATTTGTGTTTGCATTCATGATCAGAACTTTAAAGAAAAGCACTAGTATTTAGATTAAAACTTACAGCAAGGAGGGACCCATACTGCAGTTTAGCTTTAAAATATTATCAAACCAATATTATTCCAACACCTTAAACATATAAATACATCTAGATTCTAGACATAGTAAATGTAAATTGGGAAGACAGGTCCCCCAAAAATCAACAATTACTTTGAATTTATGCACCATCACATTGTTTCAGACTGCATTGATGCATGATGCATCACCACCGTGAGAAATTATTTTTGATGGATAAGGAATTACAATATATAAATATTGCAGTCACTGCATCCATATTTTGTTTAAGCAATTCAACTTATGAATTTAGAAAAAGTAACAAGACCTTTCAAAATGGGCAAGAAAACAATTGCCCATGCACTTTACAACTAGGTATCTTGCACAATAATTTTACCTGCAACCTTGCTCGCCTCTCTTCTTTCCGCTGAGCAAGGGCAACATAAAGTGGTTTGCTGACAACCATTTTCCCATTCATCTCAGCAAGCTGAAGGCGAAAAATAAGAGATTAGTTTTCTCACAATCTATTAAAACCATCCCAAAATAAATCAACTTACAGCTCTAGAAGCTTCTTCAGGAGTCGAGAATGCAGCAAATCCAGATCCTCTACTGATTCCACTGGGGTCACGCATAACCTACTAAGTCATAAAAGAAAATTACTAATTTCTAAACACAAACAAAAAAGAGATTGACCGAGTCAACAATAACAAACATGGAGATGAGAAAGAGAAAAAGAGGGAGAGACGGCTAACTTCCTATTTTTATTAAACAAGCAAATGTTTACAAACCTTGCATGAAGTAATTGTACCAAACTCAGAGAACAACTCCTTGAGTTTATCATCGTCAATGCTATCATCTAAATTTTTTATATATAAATTCACTCCTTGATACTTGTCCACTGCTTCCTTGGCATTCTGCTCAAACCGACTTTTTAGCTCAAGCTCTCTTTCAGATTTCTTTTGGGCCTTCCCAACATACCACTCCTTATCATCAAATTTGTACCCATTTAAGGCCTCAACAGCTTTAGCGGCATCATCTGCATTCTCAAAGTTCACAAAACCAAAACACTTGGATTTTCCTTCTCCATCTCTCATCACTACTGCACTGGTAATTGTTCCATATTCTCCAAAAGTTTTCATCAAATCTTCATCAGTAGTAGAGTCTGCCAGATTTTTTACATAAACATTATTGAATTTTGTCTTGCTCATTACACTGTCTCTTTCCTGTTTACGAAGGAAATGTCCAACATAAACTTGTTTATCATTAAGCAGCATGCCATTCAACTTATCAATGGCATTTTGAGCAGATTCTTCATTATCAAATTGTACAAAACCATAGCCTTTAGACTGGCCATTAGGATCTGTAGCAATCTTGCAGGAAAGAATGTTCCCAAAGCTTGAAAATGTATCGTGTAATGCTTTGTTGTCAATTGTTTTGTCCAAATTCTGCACAGAAGGTCAAAATATAGTAATTAACATTTACCACCAATAAGCAAGGTAAACGCAAAATAATTTACCCACCAGAAAAAAAAAAAAAAAAAAAAAACCCAAAATAACTAAAACACTTAACAAGCCACAAGGACATTTCATCCCTGGCCCTACACATGGATATGTAATTCACAAATAAGTCCATAATCTATTTCTTTTCCAGCCTCAATTACTATTCACTTCAACCTCCCTATCACAGCAACAAAATCAACACCACCACTACACAGTATAATGTAAGAGTGTTCCTGCCCTGTCCAATCACCCACTGAGTTTTAAGTGGACCAGAAGCCCTGTAGGGAACCACTTGAATAGGAAGGAAGTGGTCAATTGGACCAGAAATAGTACTCCTACAATGGACAGGAGCTAAATCCCTCCCATGACAGACATGAAACTCCAAATCGAAACCATACAACAAGTTCAATGTAGCCAAACAGCCACCAAAACATTGTAAAACCAGGGAGGAATCAACATCAATTAGTACAAGAGAAGATGGAGCACTTGCCAAAGGAGGTTAATTACCTTAATAAATATGTTTGCTGTTCCACTTTTACGGACACTGGGGTCCCGATGAGAATACATGATTCTAATAGCCTTGCCGTTGATTGGAGTGAAGTTTAATACATCCAATGCCCTAGCCGCTGCAGTTAAGGTGAACCAAAATGTCAACAGCTATGGAAAATGCATGCGTCCATAATAAAGACAACTAAGCAAGTAGTTTTGTTCCTTTATAACAACGAAACAGAAATGTTGACTTTCTGTATCTAAACTAGTACTAACACTTAAGTCCTTCAAGAATAACCATAAGAAATGATACATTCACAATAGACGAGAAAAGGGCCAAAATGTTTAAGTCAGCCATTTCTGATACAGTCTCCACAAGTAAACAAGTTCCCAACCATGGATTTAGAAGAAACTCTTGACATTAGTGTAATCACTTGCACATTGTTTTCAACAACATTGATGCAACCAAAAAAAAATTTCAAGGAGAAAAAACAGCCAACTCAAAAACAAGGTCAAGAAATATAATATGGCCATAAACAAAACCATTAATTCTGATTCAAGAGGTGGACGGATATATCCAACTAAGTCGTACATAACAACCAATAAAATAACAATAAACTCCAAAGATGTTTTTTAGCTTTGGGTCCAGCTACAAATTTCTCAGTTGTTTAAAGTGTCCTTTCTAAGATAACAAATTTGTACACTTCAGCAATATTGATAACCAAAACGCCACATTCTCCATATTCTTTGCCACATAATACACCAGTTTCAACAACTAAGCTATCTATAGTTCCATACAACATCGCACATTTCATCATTTGTCTATGCAATCAGTAAACTTCAATAATACCGCTAAATGATAAACATTCTCCGAATTCTTCAACACATAATACACCAACTTCAACGACTAAGTTATCACTACAACGCTGAACCGAATATCTCATCATTTGCCTACATTACAAAAAACAAAATTGCTGAAAATGTAAGCTACATTTAATTTGAGTTTTTCCAACCAAAAATGTAGTAATATTTTGCACATTGTACTATTAACCAAAACTTTAAATGAATCAACTTATAATAAATGCATAAAGCATACTAACCATCTTGAGGGTTGCTATAGTTGACATAACCGTATCCGAGAGAACGCCGAGTGCTAAGGTCCCTGCAAACCCTAACCGAAACAACCTGACTGACCTGGTTAAACAGATCATAGAGCTGCGAATCGGTCACATTGAAGTCCAAATCCCCAACGTACAGTGACGTCGACACGAACTGGTTCCCTCCAGGAGCCACTCCATTCGGTCCAGTCACCGGACTCTGCACCTGAATCTGCGCCATTTCTTCCACAAATACCCCTCCAACGCCTCTTTTTCTTCAACTTTTTCCAAAAACCTTTTTTCCCTTTTTTTCAATTTTTTTGTTCCCTCTCCTCTATAACAGAAATGATAATTGAAATTCTAAGAGAGAAACACAACAAAATTGTAATCGACCTCGAAGGACTCAGAAAAAGACTGTAATATAGTAACTTTCCGCGAAATTTTTTAGGTATTTTGGAGATAAGAGAGGAGAGGGAAGGGTAAAATGGGGATAAATCGTCGGGGATCCGAACGGAAATGAGAATCGACGATGAGATAGAGAGAGATTTTTTAGGGTGGGAGGGCAGACACACTGCACCGCACCGGCTGAGAGGAAACTGTGAAGTTTATATACTGAGAGTTAGGCGCCACACGGAAACCCTAATTTGATATGTGGGCGAAATCTGGGCCGTTGGATTAAAGTCTTGATAGTTTTGCAGGTGATTTTTTTTTTTTTAATTCAACGAATTGGACTGTTTGGATTAATTTATAAACACTTCAATTAATTCGATTAAAAACAAATCATACATGTCAAAATTAAAATATTCACGAGAGATTTATCCTCATAACTTGACCTAGTCAAGACGTTACTACTTGAATTACCCTTTAAGATTGTATGTAATTTTTCATGTGACAAAATTAAATGTTTATTAATTAAATATTAATTAAATAATTTTTTGGGGGTATATTGTGAAAGGAAGATATCAACGAGTAATAATAGCAATTTTCATTCAACCAATATTATTTAAAAAAAAAGTAATTAATATCTAATCAGGGCATTATATCCATAATATTTAGTTATTTACTCAGTCATGATACATCAATATCATTCACAGTTTTCACACTTCTTGCAAAGTCTGTGTGGGCTTTTTGCCCCTCGTTGCCCAATGCAGGCTCATGTGGGTAGTCCTATCTCATCTGGTCCAGTCCAACCAACATCATTTCGTACTTCTTGAATGTCCGTTTGGGCTTGCTGCCATTCCAATAATTTTTAGTTGGTTTTTTGGAAGTCGGTACAACTTATTAAACTTATTTAACAAAAAATATATAGAACAAAATACGAGTAAAAAGACATAAATGCTCATTTTAAGGTCATTTAATTTAAAATCTTTTATCTTTAATGCACTTTGATTCATGTCTATTTGTTAATACATATAAATATGTATTTAATCCACATTAATTCATGTATATTTGTTAATACATGTATATATATATTCGTATATACATGTGTATATATATATGTGTGTGTGTGTGTGTATTGTTAAATCTCTTATTTAAATTTTGAATTATCTTTAATGCACCTTAATTCATACGTATTTTTTTTTAAAAGTGTTTCAAATTAATTTAATATCTGAATAATGTAATAATATAACAATAACAATGTAATAATAACAGTGTAACAAATACATTGTAATAAAGATAGTGTAACAAATATACCGTAACAAAAACAGTGTTCAGTAATTATGTGTATATGGTAACAAATTCAAAACGGAGATGAACTATTTTGAATGAAATTATATGAAACTATATATTTGACAAAATGTAATAGTACAATATTTTGTGTAAATAACTTGTTACACTATTATTGTTATATTGTTACATTGTTAGTGTTACACTTTTATTGTTGCACTGTTACACTGTTATTGTTACACTATTCAGATATTAAATTAATTTGAAAATAAAATCATTTTCTAAAAAAAAAATGCATGAATCAAGGTGCATTAAAAGATAATTTAAAATTTAGATAAGAGATTTAACAGCAAGTATATACATACATACATAAGTATTCATGTGTGTGTGTGTGTGTGTGTATATATATATATATATATATATGTATGTATTTATTTATATATAAATATATATAAAAATATTTATTTATGCATATATAAAAAACGTATATATATATTTGTTTGAATTTTAAAATTTGTATCCATGTGTATATATATATATATATATATATGTATTAAAGTTCTTCCATAAAATTAGGAAATGTTTAATACACCACTTTCCAAATGAAAAAATGGTGCATTAAGTACACATGGATTAATAGAGGGCAAAAATGTTACAATAAAAATAGATAAATTCAAATTGTGTATTTGGATACAAATAAGTATCAAAATTAAGTACTTAATAACCCTATATTTTTTAGTGTATACTTTTTGCCAAATAAGTCTAATTTTGTGTACCTCTTACAATTTACTTTTTTTTAGTTATTTTGTTGCAATACTTATTTCAACAAAAATAATATTATTTATACTTAATTTGATAAACCTAATTAATTGTGATCTTTGAGTTGATGGTCAACTTTATTTGACATAACGCATTACGTATTCACTTTGGGTTTTAAAATCAAAATGGTTTTCCTTATGTGGGATTCATTTATTAGCTACTAATGTTGATTCACTTTTCAAGTCAAAACTCTGAAAAATTAATTCGAAATACATTCATTTGATTGTGCATTTGCCGACCTCACTTTTGCTTGTTCATTCCAAATTACCAATGTTCATGAATTTTCAAGTCACATCTAATCGGTTTTCATACATTTTGAATTCTATATTTTTTGGGGTGATTTGAGGTTGATGTTAATCGGTACTGCATTTTTGATCATAAAATATACATATACTTAGATTGACAATAGACCCTACTATTAGGTGGGACTACTATCAATTCCATAATTATGATTCATCGTGTCACCAAAAATAAGTTACTAAATTAAGTAAAAAAAATATTTTCCTTCTAAATATTGATGCTATAATTCCAACCCTTAAAAGTGTGATTGTGTTTTCTTCGCGTTTTGATCTCCTTCCTAATTCTATTAACTTTAAATAAATCTTTTTTATATTAACTAATTTAATCCATTGTTGCCATTGGATTGGGCATAAATCCTAATTTTAGTTGAGATCGATTGTCAATTTAATAATAATAAATGATAACATCAACAAATTGAATTGATCAATTAAGTTGTAATTTAAACAAATTCTCTACCTCATAGGTTAGACGATTTATTAATTTTGTAGTCGNGTGTACCTCTTACAATTTACTTTTTTTTAGTTATTTTGTTGCAATACTTATTTCAACAAAAATAATATTATTTATACTTAATTTGATAAACCTAATTAATTGTGATCTTTGAGTTGATGGTCAACTTTATTTGACATAACGCATTACGTATTCACTTTGGGTTTTAAAATCAAAATGGTTTTCCTTATGTGGGATTCATTTATTAGCTACTAATGTTGATTCACTTTTCAAGTCAAAACTCTGAAAAATTAATTCGAAATACATTCATTTGATTGTGCATTTGCCGACCTCACTTTTGCTTGTTCATTCCAAATTACCAATGTTCATGAATTTTCAAGTCACATCTAATCGGTTTTCATACATTTTGAATTCTATATTTTTTGGGGTGATTTGAGGTTGATGTTAATCGGTACTGCATTTTTGATCATAAAATATACATATACTTAGATTGACAATAGACCCTACTATTAGGTGGGACTACTATCAATTCCATAATTATGATTCATCGTGTCACCAAAAATAAGTTACTAAATTAAGTAAAAAAAATATTTTCCTTCTAAATATTGATGCTATAATTCCAACCCTTAAAAGTGTGATTGTGTTTTCTTCGCGTTTTGATCTCCTTCCTAATTCTATTAACTTTAAATAAATCTTTTTTATATTAACTAATTTAATCCATTGTTGCCATTGGATTGGGCATAAATCCTAATTTTAGTTGAGATCGATTGTCAATTTAATAATAATAAATGATAACATCAACAAATTGAATTGATCAATTAAGTTGTAATTTAAACAAATTCTCTACCTCATAGGTTAGACGATTTATTAATTTTGTAGTCGATAGTTTAGCTCTTTATATTTTACAATAGAGAATAATTTTTTTCATCGTCAACCTGTAAACCAATTTTTTATAAGTAGTCGATCAAAATTTGACAACCACACAAACTTGTGTTTACAAACTATAGTAAAGAATTGTCAAATTTGTGTTAGTTGTCAAATTTTGATTGGATTCCTGTAAATAACTAATTTACAGGTAATCTGTAAAGAATTTATTCTCTTTACAATATAAGGGAATCTTCAACCATGCTCTCTAAAAATATAGAACATTTTTAGTAAAAAATTATAATAGAGAATAAATTTTTACACACCAATCCAATAACACTTTTTATAATAGAGAATTGAGTGAAAATAAAAAGTTTATTAGAGATGCTCTAATGATTCTATTTGTTGGAGAGAGGAATACCTGCTTTTCCTCGGCTCTCTTCTTTGCAATCATCGATATTTTTGACCAGTGAATTTTAATAAAGTTTAGAAGTAAATAATTGTAATTTTCATCGCCAGTCTTTCAAATTTTATGTTACCTCTCCTTCCCGCCAAAATGCTAGTCAGACTGTGACCCACAAACCACTACTACTTTTTTTCCCTACATGATATTGATACATCAGTGCACTATGATATAATATCTGCATGTGTCCAGATTCTTGAAATTTTACTTTTTGAAAAATCTTGTTACCCTGTGTTTACATTTATAATTATACTGCTGCTTGAAAGATAGAAAACTAATCCTTTTACAATTTAAAAACTTTAAAATATTTGGGAGGGAGCTACTAGAAGAAGTAGGTGCTTGGACTTCAGTGTCCTATACTGTCCTCAGCTTCACCAATCACCACTTTTAACCTAAAAGCTTGGTTTCAACAAGTTGTTGTTAGTCAAAGGGATCACACACAACCACAGAACTAACAAACAGTAGTAGCATTTTCCAAGGGCAGCAAAGAACTTTGGTTTGAAATCAGGAATAACAAGGATCAGAAGGTACAAAGATACAGCTTTTCTTTCTTCTTTCCCGGAACAAAGAAAGAAAAAAGCAAGAAAAGCACATCAAAGCAGATCAGAAATTAACAATAGGGAGTGGAAAAATTAATTTTTGACACCCCTTGATCATCTGCCTTCTGGGTGCAATGGGAACAGCTCTAGAGTCCTATCTCCCTCCTCTTTGTTGTATCTCTTGTCCTCTTCCAAGCACTCGAATGTCCAAGTCCTGCACTTTCTCTTGCATGGACTATCTTCTCTCTCTTCTTCTGATCCCTAAAAAAAATTTGTAAATTAACATGTCAACACCTTGTCTTCAAGAGACCCACGAAAATAAACGAGAAGGCAAATCTTGGAACTAAGACTTCGGTGATCCAAATTTAGATCGTAAGGCGAAGCGTTTGTGAATTGCTATACAAGTGCGTGAATATAACGCGTTTTAAAGTCGGACTTAGTTCAAAGACAATATTTTAGGATGCAAGTTGGGGACAGAGAGACATACCCTTGTCTCCATTGTTATGCTACTGCTAATAGTGGAAGCTGGTGTCCTTGGACAATGGCTGAGACCAAGGCTGTTACGCTTCTGCTTTTGCCTCTCACGTGCTTTGTGGTTTTGGAACCAGTAAAACACATTCTTCCCTTCTATTTTGCCATACTTTCCGAGCTGTGCAGTGATTTGCTCTATTTGTTGGGCATTGGGAGTGCGCATTCCCCCTCTATACAGCATCTCGAGTATACCTATTTGTTCTTGCGTGGGATTCCACCTAGTCCCCCCAGGCTGCGTCTCCACCTACATGAAAGGTTTTGAAGTGTGAAAGTGTTTCGAGAAGTTTTGACAATTTTGGACATGACCTGTCAATCTGACATATATGAAGTTAACCGTTCAATTTTAACCGTAGCGAGTTTTTTGACGAACTTGTAGATCCATTACACTTGTGAAACAAATGAGTCTAAACGAATCCACCATACATAACTTGTACGCAACATGTTGAACTTTCAACACGAAACCAACTAACCATACATGATTAATAACACTTCTTACAAGTCTTGCGCCAACTTCTTACTATCTTTCCAAGTATTTAAGCCCTTTTTGTTGCAACTTTATTATATATAGCTCTGCAATCTGCATGTTATTTTGTATTTTGGGAGAAAACTACATGAAATAATGTCCTGTTGAAGGTAGATATCTGAAAATCACCTGAGTTGATTCTCTCTTGTCGTCAGAGAATCCAAGTTTTCTGGGGCCACTTTCAGGTCGAATGAAGCTCTTAAGATCAAACGGTGTGGCGCTGACAACGTTGTCGCTGTTAGGAAGCTTTGGAGCAAGGGGTCGAAAACGCTTGCAGCCACCAAGCGTGAGGGTGGGTTCTTGCTCCCAGAATCCACGTGCGAACTGATGAACCTTCATGCCTCCCATGGATAACAATTTGATGACAGAGAATGGTAATTATATAGAAGAAGACGAGAAAACAATAAAGAAAAGAAAGTGGGAAATGAGTTGGTGCCTAGAAGAACCAAGACCAAATGATGAGGTGAGGTTGACTTGAGATTTCCATTTTAAAAAGCAAGATCAAAAGTAATCTAGAGTGAGAGAGATAGTAACTCCATAATTACCTCTCTCTTTTTCTTTGTGTGTGTGTGAGAGAGAGAGAGATGAAAGAAAGTATGAGCGTGTGGGTGAGTATATATGCGTGTGGGTTGGGCAGTCTAATCTGGGTGGTGTTTTTTTCTTGCTTTCATGATAAGGTGTGTATGCTTTTCGGTGGCCTCTATGGCTCTCTTCTTAACTTTATCACTATTAAAGTGAAGAGGGAAGGGAATGAAAAAGATTCCTCCAATCCCAAAACTTGAAAATGGGAACTCTTTGTTTTGTTTTGCTTTGCTTTGCTTTATGAGATACGGATATGGTGAGGAGAGAGAGAGAGGGAGAACTGAATGCCGTCTTTAAGTGGTAGATGTTGAAAAAACACAAAACAACATATATAACCATATCTATCTGATATCAATATCTCAGGTTCTCAATCCATTTTCATTGGCAACTTTTGCTCCAATTTCCCAAACAGTGTAAAACCACCAACTTGCTTTTTATCCCATTTTTGTATTGTAACCTCTTTCTTTATTCAAGCACGCACTACTCTTTAAGCAGCATACACGTAGTTCATATTAATTACTTGGTATAAGTAAGTGGAACATTGAAAATGGATTAGGAACTAATTAATCAACTTTCTCTTTGGATGTAACTCATGACGAAGATTACACCTCGTGGTGGTACCTTTTTTTTTTGGCTTTAGAACAGAGAGAATTTATGGGTGAACTGACAATGATCAAATTTCCACCTAAATTCTCTCCTATAACAAGATATAATATTTACTATCCAAAATTATCTATTTTGCCATCGTCTTGGAACACTACAAATTTAATCACTTAGAAGGTATTACCCACGATTTAAGATAAAAAAAAAAAAACTATTTAAATCTAACTTATTGATTTTATTTGTATAATACATTTTAGTCATTGAATTGGTAACGAGTTTTAATTAATAGTAGAGTAATGCTATTGAGACATAATTTATGGACATAATTTGAAGACATAATGAATTGTCACAAATAATATGATAATTAATTCATTAATGCTAAAATGGAACTCATCATTAAATACATTTTACTATCATTTCATTGATGACAACTCATTATGTCCCTATAGCATTAGTGTTAATAGTAGGACCCATTTTATATCCAATGTCAGAGAATGGTTAGGTTTGTAAATTAGGTTCAAATAACATTGCTCATTTAAGATTGGAGTTAGAGGTGTCCATGGACCGGGTTACCCAGGAATCCCGCTATTTGATTCGAAAAAAGTAGGTCCAAAACTCAATATAGGCCCGATAGTTGGCCTATCTGAGCCCGAACCTAATATTCATAAAAAGAGGGTTTGAGTTTGTCCCCAAACCCATTATCTGGCCCAAAAGTCCGTCTGCCCACCCTTCTTTTAATTATACTTTTAGACCATTAAATTTGAAATTTTGAAATAAGTCTCTCAATATCAGAATTTAAAGATTTAAAAATTTAGATATTATAAATAATATATTATTTTCTTTTCCATGTATTAAATATACAAGTTTTAAAGGATAAATAAATGCAAATGATAGATAAATTAATAGGTTATGTGTCAACCTAATTGGATTTTTTTCATTTTATTGAATGTAGTTCATCCCTTAATCAAAAATAAAATTATTTATTATTTTATTTTTATCTATTTTGACACTATTTTTGATTTAAAAATATTATTTACATAAATATTAAGTTACAAATTATTCATTATTTTTAAATAAAAATGTATATGAAAAAGCTCGCGAGTAAGGCCGCCCAACAAACCAGTCCACAGGCCCTTCTAATAGGTTCACGGGTTAAGCTGCGAGTAGCCTACTCTTACCCGAAGTCAGGCCCAACTCGTCCGATAACTCATTTGGATAAGGACTTGAGTTTACACTACCCCGCCCCGCCCCTACCCTAATTGGAGTAATGTTACGACTTAAAAATCTGACTTAATTTGTTAACCTAATGATGTGGAGTAACATGATCTCGTAGATAATAAGTGCAATTTGTACCTAAAAAATTGATTCCATTACAGCTATTAAATTGATTGTGAACCCTATTAAACATTAAAATTTACACAAAAATTTACTTTATCCAATAATTTTAAAAAAATTACATCATCAAATCAACAATGGTTAAATTTTTTAATTTGAATAGCATTACTCTGAATTATTGTGATCATATCCAACTGTTAGATTGATGTAGACATTACCAGTCTCGCTGACCTCTACAACCATAACAGTTTACTTTTCCTAGTAAGCATGTGATTCCGAACTAATGTTTATATAGAGGTATTCACCCTAGTAAGAATTATGATATTTTAACTTCCTACTTGATATTTTGAAGAATAATTTTTTTTGAGCGACCCTACTCGATGAAATATACTATTCTTACTGGTCCAAAATAATCAGGTAAGAAGTCGCATAGAAAATTGGGTGAACACATATTTTTAATGTATTAATTTTTGGATCATTTTAACAATTCAATTAAATAACCCACACCAATTAATCACTATAATAAACCTATAACACTAAAAAAAACACAATAAATTCGATCCAGTAATACTATGCTGACCAACTTTTTAGATCAAATTAAGAGTCCAAATGACATGACAACATTTTATTTGAAGTCTTTATTGGGACCCATATGACATGACATCAAATAAAAAAGTCCAAGTCAACTGTCATGTCATTTAGATTTTTGATTTGATCTAAAAATTTGGTCACTATAACATTATTGAATTTGATAAGACATAAATAATTATAATAAAACACAAAAAGAAAGTCATAAACATCAATACATCACGTACCCAATATTTTTGTGATAACCAATCAATAAGATCAGATTGAGTCGGAATATGCGGGTAATAAAAAAATTGAACATCCTTATGTTTGTATCTACTGGTCTTTTTCTAATTTTTTGCATAAACATGTGTATCTCCATCTCTACTTAACTGCAGAAGTTACCACACGAGCATGGGAGAGAACTAGAAGAGAGGGAGGGGGTGGTCTCTCTTTCTCTCCCTCTCTGAATCGTTTCAAATGTTCTACCGTTATGTCATAGTATAATATGCGTGCAGCCTTCCCTCAAAGGCTATGAAATGTATAAAACGATCAAAAGTGGGTTTGACTCATCTCTAATATTTTAATAATATAAAATTTCTATAATTTTTTAGAATGGAAAAAAAATTATTTACTTCAACAAATTTTACTTAAAAACCATCTTTAATGATAAAAATAAAAAATAGTTTGTAATTCTAACGTGTATAAATTCCCACCATCAAAATAAATTTTTTTAAAAAAATATCCTCCCATTATTTGTGGAAAAAAAAAAATCCTCCAATCACAACAATTATTAGGACTTTTTTGAAACCCTCCAATTACTTGAAAATTATCATGTACATATCCTGAGTAATATCCTAGGTGAGACACTTGGATGTGTTAACGATGAATTCTAAAGGCCGTAGAAGTTATTTTATGAGGACGTCAATTACTTTGGATATTAATTACACCTTTGTTGACATATATATCCCAGATTATGATATGAGTCCTTGTCTTGGCCCAACGTAAGCAGGCAGATCCAACAGGTGATAGCAACACCATCCCCATCAATCACGACAACATGATTTTTCCTCGTTCACAGATTTCTTCCTACTTTCCTAGTCTTTATAATTGTGTACCTAATCTACCTTATTTTCTTTATTTGCAAAAGGGTAAAAAGCTTTGCCCCCCTAAAAATCACTGACACAAATCTTCCTCGTTATATTTTATATAAACCTACGTATGTGGTCAATCATGAGCTTTGTTAGGTCTAAATTAAATTTTTCCGTATCAAAAGATACACTTACCTCGTACGTCTTCTACACAGCCAAATTTGTGAGAGTGAACGTTAAATGTTTGAGTTGCAGAAATTAACTCTCTCTATATATAAGAAATAAAATTATATATCTTTGATCCTTTACAGAGTTCATAGTGACAAAATCTCTTGTACTAGGCTGATTTTTATTATATAATAATTAAATTTGTATTAGATTAAATTCTTACTTTGTATAATTAAAATCGTATCAGTGTTTGTATCAAATGAGTCTAAGTGATCAGTCTCAATTTTCTAAGTAAGATTTGTATAATTGAAGAAAAAGTTAAGAATAGGAGAGCCAAAGCACAGATGACACGCATCAATTCTAAAATAATGTTTTAAGCGCAATATCCTGACTTGAGCATTGATTACTCAAACACCAGGGAAAAAAAAAAGGCAAAAAAAACGACAAATCAAGAAGAAGAAAAAGGGTCTTCAAGGAAGTCCTCAAGGCAGATATACATTCAATTCAAATTCCTAATGCATTGAAATAATGGGCACACTCTGCTGTTGAATCTTAAAAGTCTGGTAGAGTTTGAACATCGTTATCTCTCTTCCTCTAATTTTGGGTTGCCTTCCACTATGTGACGTTGTTGTCTGATCTTTTAATGTGAGTGAAGGAATCCATGGCTTTGATGTGTTGGAATATACCACGCACTTCACAGAAGTTACTAGCATGATTAACAACACCTTATACAGTTAAATAGCCATGATAACCACAAGGTCTACTTGAATTGGGAAGGAGATCATCTCATAAATTTGTAAAGATATTGAGTTTAGTTTTCCAAAAATATCAGTAATAAGTTATTGTTGAGTTGAGTATTGAATTTTATTTTTTTAGAGTCACCGTAAGAATTTGTCTTGGTAGTTACAAAATCGTATTGTGCATTAATTATTATCGGTTTTGAGTTAGACACACCAATTTAAAACGTCTTATATGATAGAAGTCTAAAATTTAT